ATTTAAAACCTATTTCTTTTTCATGAAATCTCGAGTTTTTAATCACTGTTGGTATAATGTTGTGTTTATATTGTGAATCTGTTTTATTTCAGATCATAACTCAAACGGCTTAGTTGCAAATCTCTCAGCTATAAAAGACAATCTAACTGAGCGTCTTCAAACCAGCAATAGAAAACTGCTCAACAGGCAGAACAGTTTGTCCAAACAGAGTGAGTACCTTCATGTGTTATATGTCATAAGTGTGGGGTACCGAGGAGCTTGGCTGCTTGAGAGGCCTCATGTACAGAAAATGAAAATCTTCAGTACATAAGATATTGGTTTGAGCTACGATTCTTTGGTCTTTCCCACTTTCTTTCTTCACCTTCCCTGTCTCTAACTACTGAATAAAGACCATTAATGACAGTAAAAGCACATTTGTCGATGCCCTGACTATTAAAGTTCATGTTACAAAATTTGCTTTTAAAGCACTCATTAAAAGAGATACTTTTTTTTCCAGAAAAGACATGTCCCACAGGATGGAAAATGTTCAGTTGTTCCTGTTACCTTGTCTCTTTTTGTCTGGTACCTGGGATAAAGGCAGAGAGGACTGTAAAGACAAAGGTGCCGATCTAGTGGTGATAGACACCACTGAAGAACAGGTAAAGTAAAAGCAATATTGAAATTAGAACACTTCCAAGTCTGGATTGGAATAGGTGGATAAAGAAAATTCATGCGGGGACCTTTAAAACAATCCTTCATTTTCTTTTATCAGAAATTTGTCTCTGGACTCATTACCAGTGATACTTGGATTGGTTTAAGCGATAGGAATCAGGAAGGACTCTGGCAATGGGTGGACAACTCTCCTTTAAGTGTGACGTAAGTTCTCTTTTAAGTTGAATATTGATTTATACAACCATCATTTTACATGTATCTGCTTTTTGGCTTCTGTCCAATAACTGTTCATAGATTTATTAATCCACTAAGCCATAGTGTTATCAGAGACAACAATGTTGTTGAACAGGCTCTTCTTTTCAGGAAATAGAATGGCAGCAACTTGCAACATGCAGTCCTGCACAAATGGCCCTTCCTTTAATAGTTTTCATGCATTTCCCTGTCAAGCACGTCACTGACCAACCTAACTTGCTTCAACGATCCTGCGTAAAGACTTTTAGGAAAATTCCATGTCCGGATAGTATGTTCTCATCATATATTTATTATATACTTTGCAAAAACAAATTATATGATTATTCACTTACCTTCCAGGTTCTGGGGTAGAAATCAACCTGATAGTGCTGGAGACCCGAAGAGGCATGACGAGGACTGTGCACAATTTTTTGATTCTCCAACTGTTTGGAACGATATTTCATGTACCACCTCTTTTAAGTGGATATGTGAAAAAATATCAGACACTGTTTAAATGTTGAGCTACGAGTTACATTCAACTTTATGCATGGCAATAGTATTGAACTCAGCTGTGTCGTCCTGTGCAAAATATTTTGCTTTACTAATATTGTTGTTTATTAAAAATAACAAAAATTATCCATCCATCCATCCATTATCAATGCCGCTTATTCCCTCATGGGGTCGCGGGGTAACAAAAATTATACTTCACGTTATTTTAAAATAACTATCCATGGTAATATAAAGATTTAACATCTATGTACATATTTGAATGTGTGAAAAATACATATCAAATCTATTTGTCAGCATTAAAGTTGAAATATGCCACTATGGAAAGAATTACAAATAAACATTTAAAAAAAACTCAAATCAAGACTGATGTATGTAAATGTACATGTGGACGTATACACTACTTCTAACATATATTCGACACACATGTTACCAATGTCATTGCAGGTGGGTGGAACTAATACAGGAGTTTCTGGACTGAGAAAAAAAAGTCTAATTTTAGAATGACTTTGAGCCGAAATTACATTAAAAAAGTATTTCAGTTCCTTTTTCTTAACAATTTACAGCTTTCTAGAAAGGTCTTGCTTCACACAGTGTACTGCATTCTGATATTAGACTACAAGTTTTTTTTTTTTTTTAATCTAAGCTCATCCATCATCGTTACTGCTTATTCTCTATTCAGGTCACGGGGAGTGGTCAATGGGCGCGGAGCGGGGTGCACCCTGGACGGTCGGCTAGTCCATCGCAGGGCCACACAGACACATATAAGGACAAACAACCACACACACTATCAAGGGAAATTTGGGATGTCAATCAACTTAACATGCAGGTTTTTGGACTGTGCGAGAAACCCTTGCAGACACAGGGAGAACATGCAGACTCCACACAGAAAGGTCCTGGCTCCCCCAGGACTCAAACCCTCTTGCTGTGAGGAAATGAGGAAACAGGTTTTCTCTGAAACCGTCAGGAAGATGCCCAAATCAGTGAGTGACTGACAAAATTTCGGTTTATCTTGTGGCAAACTGAGTCGGACCCAAAGACACCCTGAGACAGACGGTCAGTAAAGTGGGATTTATTTGACGAAGACAGGGGTAAATCCACGGGAGTCCAGAGTCCAGTCCAGAGTCAAAACCAGGGTGGCAGTCCAAGGGAGCAGGCGGGATCTCGAGGTCACAGGCAGGCGGGGTCGAACACGGGCAGGCAGTCAGAATCGGGCAGGATAATCAGGCAAGGGTCAGGCAGGCTCGGGAAACAGGTAGACAGAAGGCAGGTCGAATAAACAGGCAGACGGAATACTGGAATGCTGGAAGTTCTCACCAAAGGCTCGATACATTCTGGCACTGGAGACTTCTTCTTCTTCTTCTTTTCTATTATGGCGGATCACAAGCAACTTTAAGGTGCATACCGCCACCTACTGTACATGAGTGTGTAGCAGCGTTACTTCACATCTATTAGATTCTATTTTTAAATTTTGTATTCTTAAGGTAGATAAACAATGCTTTCCATAATTTATGAATATCTGTTATGTTTCCTTCATTTCCTAATATACCTTTAAGATTCCATTCATGCCCTATACTTCTAACTATTCTCTTTAATTCTTCCCTTTCGAGTTCATATGACTTACAGTTCATCAGTATATGTTCTACATTTTCTTTTTCTCCACATCTCTCACATTTATCACTATTTTTCCTCCCTATTAAATAAAGCATGTCATTTAAGTAGGTATGACCTATTCTTAATCTACTAATTATTATTTCTTATCTTCTGTTTCTTTCATTAATGCTTCGAATTCGAACTGACTTTTCCACTTCATATAATCTTCTTCCTTTTTTATCTTCATTCCATATTTTTTGCCATTCCTCCATTTCTTTACTTTTAATAAGTGATTCCCCTTCCCCTTTCCCAAAAGGAATTGAAATAGTTATTTCCCCCTCTAAAGCCCTTTTAGCTAACTTATCTGCCTTTTCATTGCCTTTTACTCCTTCATGTGCTGGCACCCAACAAAACCAAACATCAATGCCACCCCTATATAATCTAAATAAAATATGATGAATTTCTAATACCAAATCTTTTCTATAATTTCCTTCTCCCTTAATACTTTCCACTACTGCTTCAGAATCTGTGCACACCACCACCCTGATTGGTCGAATCTCCTCCACCCATTGCAAGCTTAATATAACTGCCACCATTTCTGCTGTAAAACCGACAATTGATCTGATATTCTTTTATAGATACATTTTTTAAACTCTGGAATATATATTCATATTCCCACATATCCTTTTAAATTCTTAGAACCATCTGTATACATTTTAAGGTAATTATTATATGTAGTTCTTAAATAAATATCAGTCTTTATTCCTATTTCATTTAAATTCCAATCATTTTTCATTGTATTAATTTGCAAATCTACATTAACCTCAGGTATTAGCCATGGAGGAATAACGCTAATTGGGTTCAATTTAGCTATTTCCTTGTCTTCTAATCCATACTTTTTAATCCATTTCCTAACCATCCATCCAAATCCATTACTTTGGAACTTCTCATATTCCCAACAATTTTGTAGAATAGTTGAATTCAGGTGTTGTTTTTACTGCTCTGGCACTGGAGACTGGCAGGAACGGAGCTTAAGAGGAGGTGGTAACAGGTGAATGCGATGAAGGTAATTGCGGGGCGTGGAGGTGATGAGGGTTGCAGCCGAGAGGTGGAGCCAGCTCCAGTGCCAGGAACGTTACATATCTGCCTTAGTTTGCATTACCTAACTTTAAAAACCTACTCCTCGTGAGGATAATTGGTGAGGTAAAAGACATCTTCGTAAAGTGTGGCTATTTTGTAGATTAAAATTCAGACTAATTATAACTTTTTAAACATTCCTCCTGTTTTTGTCACATATAATGTCTTTATAACCACATACATTTATATATTTCCATATGTTCCATGGAAACTGTCTTCTACTTTAGTCTTTCCTTCAGTGATGTTAAGTATTTTTAACCATTAAACATTTCAGTGGGGGAAAATCTAAACACATCACTGTGGAGGGGGTGTGGCGCTCAGCTGCAGGGGGGAGGTGTGGAAGAGGCTCAGGTGAGCAGTGCCAGGGAAGGTGATTGAGCACACCTGGAATCAGTTGGCTAATCACTCTCCCCTCTGTAAAAAGAGTAGCGTGCTGGACCTGAGGAGAAGAGAGTTGGAGCAGGACACCAGCCACAACACTGAGCAGACCAGGCGAACTGCCGTCAAGCAGAAAGCCCAAGACGGGCGTGCGTGTGAGTGTGTGTTCGTGTGTGCGAGAGTGTGTGTGCGGGTGGCACACACGCTCTGGACAATAAACCTGTTACCAACAACAACTTCGGTCTCAAGAGATTCTGTCGAGGCACCCACGGTGGCATGACTGCCACAATTTGGCACCCAACATGGCCTCGACAGGAGTGCAGAGGCCAGCATAATGGATCCACAGCAGCCCATACTGGCGCTGGCACACATGATGGCGGAGATGGCCGAAATGAGCCGGGATCAGGCGGCCGTGAGCCGGCAGCAGCTGGAGGCTCTGCTGGCTCTATCGGAGCGGCGGACACTCCAGCTGGAAGCTGTCGTGGAGAGGACAGCAGCAACACCAGGGGGACCCGGCTATCGGCCGGGATCCAAATGGAAAGACTAACAGAGCGGGACGACCTGCAATCGTTACTCGGGACCTTCGAGGCCACGGCGTCGGCTTGCGGGTGGCCGGAGGAGGAGTGGGCGGTGCGGCTGCTTCCCCTCCTGTCAGGAGAGGCCCAGACGGCGGCGCTGGGGCTGCCGGCCGCCTCCCGGGGACGCTTCCGGGAGGTGAATAGGGCCGTCCTGGATCGGCTGGGATTCTCGCCGGAGGACCAGCGGCGCCGGTTCCGGGGAGCCCAGCTGGGACCGGAGGACCAGCCATTCGGTTTTGCGCAGCAGCTGCGGGACGCGGCGACCCGCTGGCTGCAGCCCGGCGAGGCTGCTGGCGAACAGCGGCTGGTGGAGGCAGTGGTCCTGGAGCAGTTCGTGGCGGGGCTCCCGGCTGCAACGTCGGACTGGGTGTGGTGCCACCGCCCGGCGGGTCGGGCGGCGGCCGTCACTCTGGCGTAAGACCACCTGGCGGTGGTTGCTCCACGTCGGACGCCGGGTGGCGAGCCGTCAGCCCCGCCAACGCCGGCACCCAGACAGAGGTCGGCACCCGCACCCAGTCCGCGGGCCCCCACGACTGCTCTTCCCCTTCCTGCCCCCCGTGCTCGCTGCTCTGCTCCCCCCCAGGCCCAGGTCCCGGCCGCTACGAGCGCTGCTCCCCACCCAAAGGGGGTTCCTCAGGCGGCAGGGCAGGCGTGCTGGAGGTCTGGACGGCCCGGTCACTTTCGCCAGGAGTGCCCACTGATGGAGGTGGGCCAGGTGAACCGGGTGGTCGGCCCTCCAGCACCCTCCCCCGGTCCAAGAGGGACGTACAGTGTTCCGGTAAGGATTCAGGGGGGTACACTTCGGGCTGTACCCAGTCCATGGTTCACCAGAACCTTGTTCGACCCGGGGCATTGTTGGGGGTGGGGTGTGTGGACATTATGTGTGTGCATGGGGACGTTCACATATATCCGGTGGTGCCAGTGGAAATACGGTATAGGGGAAAAAAACACAGTATAAAGGCGGCGGTTAGTCCCGCCTGGCGCACCCCCTGATTCTGGTTACTGATTGGCCAGGGTTTGACAAACTAGTGGGGCAATGTGTGGGGGTGCGCTCACAGCCGACAGGGACATGGAATATGTGCGCTGTGCTCAGTGGTGACGCGAGGTCGTCCGACACTGCAGACGGGGAGGGGAAACTGGCGGTGCCTCCACCGGAGACTCCGCTAGTTCCCGTGTTCAACTCCATGGAAGATTTTCCACTCGAGCAGTCTCGTGACGACACTCTACGCTGTGCCTTTGACCAAGTGATGAGAATTGATGGTCACATGGTGCACCCTGACACACCGCTAAC